CTTGTTATTAAAACGTTTTTTTATGAAAACTATTTCTTGTTTGCAGTGTATTTAAAGGGTGTGGCTATAAAGTTTTTTTTTTCTCTCGTTATTACAGCTGAATTACTTTATTTAAGAGGAAACGAAATTTTGGCAAACTAGCAAGTGTCTATTGTTATTATTTCGGAGAGGGTGGGGTGAAGTGGTGGACTTCCTCCAACATAACTAAATATTACGTGACAACATGTTATGCGCCCTGTAGCCTGTTGGCTAAAACAAAACAAATAAATCAGTATCTACTGCTATTTTAGCGGTATATTTTTTTTAATCGCTACTATATTTACATATGACATTCAGCAAAAATGAGATTTTAAAGTTACTTCTCCAACCCCGCCCTCCCTATTAGTGCTCCCTAACGTCGAATCTAACAACCAAAACGCAAATACAAACATTTTCGCGCCAAATAATTACATGGTGGGGTAGTAAGACTTAATCCAAGAAATTATTTCTATAAAGAAGCTAGATATTTCAAGTAAAGCGGGTATAAAACGTCCGTTTTTAGTGACTAGGACAGTGGATATCAGTACATGAATAATATAAGAAGCAAGATAGACGGACCGGTTGTAATGTTGGAAACTAAATCAATTTAACGACCATGACCTATTAACTTACTTATTTGACGTCCAATTACCCTGCTACGTTAAGCTTTATCTACGTGGTCCGCCATATGCTATGTAGATTTGTGGCAGTTTAGAATTAAATTAAATTCTGCCCTATAGACACTTGGCAAGTCACCTATATACATCTAATTGTGTTTTTTTTTAGTACATGCGTAAAGATTGTAAACTTTCCCCCATTTTTCAATAAAGCAAGACCGTACTAGTTATATTCATAATAATAAAAGAAAACTTTTGTGTTGGGAGACAACATTTAAAATACTTTTTTCTGATCGTACTGCTGGTCAATAATGTCGTATTAAAATGGAGTTTTTAAATTTCGCATTGTGCTTCATTCATCACCAAAAGTTTATTTAGTTTCTTTATATTTTTGATAATAAGAGTATTTTTTTTATTACTTAAATTATTACTTAAATCATTTAGAAGTAAAACTATTTCTAAATTTCATAACATTGCTTATTTTGATAAAATAATATATATCTTATTGCTTTTACTATTGTAAAATAAATAAATAATATTTTTTTTAATCCTCTGATAAATGTAAAATATTTTTGTTAATCATTTTATTTTTATGAAGCTAGTAAATTATTAGTTAAAATTATTTGACAATCGTGACTTAAATTTCTTCGTCGTTCTTAATTTTTACTAGACCTACCCGTCATCACTTGGATGACTGTGGGTTTCGGGGGTCATCCATAAATGACATCACATCTGTGACTTATCATCACAAAATAACCAGACCCCACATTCAAAAAGACGTTTTTTATCTTTTAAAAACACCGATTTCGGCTGAGCATGGATCTGACCACACTATCCATTCTTATACTGAAGTCACATGTGACCTTTTAAAAGTTCTATTAATTTTAATGACACCGACTTTAAAATTTAGCCTTCATTCTCCAAAGCAAATTTTTAAATGCTTTTCTGGCATATCTAGCCCTGGCCACCTATAGCATGTGTATATAACGTAAAAACCCGCAATTTTGCTCGTGGTAGACATTTTTCATAGTAATTCTAAGAAGGTCTCTGGAATTTTGCCTAAAAATGGTCGGAAGTCATGCGTCCGCTCCGGACGCCGTATTGTTGTTAGCAACCGACCACGCCTTCAAGTTAGCGAATTAATCCTACTATATCTAGATCTAGAACCTAGATAGATAAATCCCATGCATTGTCGAATTAGATGATCATTGATGCTGAACACAGATTAATATAAAATAATTAAGGCCTGAAATAGATTCTAGATGTAGAATTTACATTAAGTCTAGATCTAGACACATTTAATGTTTGTTCTATTTTGTCCAGAGGAGGGAAGGGGTGGAAGGATTATTGATCGTGCACCTTAGGCAACTTCACCTACCCCTCCCTAACACTTACGAGAGAGAAGCCTGAAAAACCACATTTACATTAAATGATTTCCATATAGCCTTTAAAGTCATGATTTTGCCATAGTATGATGTTATAAACATTAGTGTAGTGTTCACCTAATATTGCTTATCGTCTGTTTTTCTTTAGCTTAGTCGCATGTAGTTTTCGTTTATTCTCAATGCAATAACTTTGGTAAAATGGGAATTTAAATTACATGTTTAGCCGTAATGGTGTGTTAAATAATATAATTGTATACTTCTTATTAGATTACATCTAACCAATCGATGTCAGTTAGAAGGTCGAAACACACCTAACCCAAATAATTCATGAACGGGTTTTGTCAAAGTGGATAATAGAACTATTTGGAAGGAATGCGCATATAAAACGGGTATGGCGTGGTAACTACAATTTTTTTAGAACCACAACTTTATAAAGATATTTGCATATTTCGGGTCCCAAGTTGAAGCTGGATCCCGTTTCAGTTATCGTAGTCAAGAAAGCATAGAAAAATTGTAAAACACGCCTGAAAATGTTTTCAGTCCTGCTATTTCACCTGTCCTGGTAAATCCTGAATCGATACCGCCCGCCTCTCTACACATGTTCTAACACCGAGCTTGTTTAAGGGGACAGTATCGCCCAGACTTATGGAGTGAATCAAAATAGTTCTTTTAAAAAAAATACGTTTAGACATACATAAGTCACATCTTTAAAGTGGCAGTGATGATTCTGCAATTTTAATATAGCATATATTTTGTGGGTTTATACATCAAGCAAAAATGTTTCTTAAAATCAATTTTCTGAAATAAATTTTCTAGTGTATTTTTGATGCCTACGTGCTGGCATATCCTAAAAAGAGTAAAAAGATTTGCCAAGAAGAAGTCGGTAAAAAAATGGAGTCAACTAAAAAGTGATGCAGATCTGCACTTGGAAGCGGAGGTCTGGCTATAGGAGCTAAAAGCAATTGCTGCCGCTAAAAAAGGCTCACTTTTGACGTTTTGGGTCAAACAAACATCTGTATCTACACCTACATATAAGAACACATCCTATGATTTGGCAAAAGAAATACCTAATAAGTCGCTGAAGTCAGATGGAAAAGTGAACGATGTTAATTACGTCAGTGATTTCTAACCCTCTACCCGCCAACTATCAACAGCACGCTACAGTCCAGATAAACTTACAATCAGAGATTGAGAATCTGAATTCCGATCTAGTGGGCTTGTATGAGCGACAAACTCGCGGAATGTTAATGCATGAACAAATTAACACACGCCATCCTGGCTGAAGGACGGACACGACTCAAAAGGCAAAGCTTTATAGGTGCTGCAAGCGCGTTGCCGGTAAAGCATGCCATGCCGACGAACAGGGCACAAATTAGCGTAGTGCCAGAGAGGCCGCCTATGGAATTGCCCGACTGCCCTGAACTAAGCCTCGCCCTCCCGGGCGGGCTGAAGAAGGGAAGCAACGTTGATGACTTGTTAATTGCTGCTCAATGTATAAAAGTGGATGAAATCTTCCCCCGCTCTTTAAATCCTTATCCCACAATCCCTTATAATTTGTATTGTCCGTCTGTTCAATCCGTGATCAGTGACAGGGTTTGTAAAAAGTGTCACTCATACTTCATTGGTTATGCTGCGCAATCATTCCTTAACTCACAAAAAGGAATTATCAATAATGCCATTACGCCGCCAACGTGAACTGATGGTGGTAATTGCAAATGAAATTAATGGTGAGAGTGTAGATTGGATAGAAAAGGAAGACCTTGATGTAAAGGGAATTCCCATTCCATACGGGGAAAAAACAATTCCGTCCCTGTGTATTCAATGAAGGAACATTTTAATTCTCCATGGGAAAGAATGAATAAGCTTAAATATTACAACTTTTTATTGAGGATTGCTCTATTAATACTGTTGTAAGTAGTTTTTTTTTAATACTTCGGTTAATGATCTAGCTAAAAATTTAGAAATATTAATGTATATAGATATGGTCGGTTAAGTATAACCTGTTACTGATATTATTATTTAATCGTTATTAATAAAATTTCTATAAAATTTGCTTAGATTTATGTCAGTGTGAGAGTATTTCTTGTCATTTTTCAACATCCTCTTCGCTAACAGTAAAACACGCACTTTTAATACTCTAGTGGAAAGTCTTTACTATTAAAAATCTATGACATTTATATTGCTTTGTGAGACGACATCCGTTAAGTCCATCATATAGGCTACAATGAAATATACCAGGAAAATTAAAGGTCTGGACATAGAGCTAACAGTTAAATAATTTGCATATTATACTCAATATATTGTTATTCTCACGTGTGTCGTCATGTCTGCAAGAAATATCTACATTTACATTACGTATTTTAAAGTAATTTAATCCTTTCAGCTTTAACATTACCTCACTGTATTACTGTTTACCTATTGGTCCCACGTATGTGTCCTGCACGCTCATAATTAATGCTGGGTAAGCGAGCAGTAATTTTAAAGGGATGAAAGCACGGCAAATTTAAAGCATAGAATAAATAAAATATTAGGGGTGGTGGGGTGGAGTGTGACGTCATTTTGTGACATTGTGTGACGTAGGGGGGGAGAGGGGGTACAAAAAATTGCCAAAAAAGCGTGACGTCATTTATGGACGACCCCATAGTTTCATGACTAAAAACAATTATTGAACGTTGATAACGCGTTATTAAACGTGATGACGCGTGTATAATAGTGTGTAGTACTTGGATAAGACTGCCTACTAATTTGGTCAAAATTTTAATTAATTCATAAAACTTTAATTAGGCAACCAATTTAGTCCAATTTAATATGATGTTGCATTGTCTTCGTCTTGACCCACATACCAACTACGAACCGGATCTGTCAGTTAGAAGTGCCCGCAATTTTGCTCGGCCGTTTTGATCCAGACTGAAGGCTGACTGAATATTGACGACAGACACAGACAGTGAGTTATATAAAAACTTGTAAAAAGGCATTTTAAAGGAAAATTGATTTATTTAAGCATTGTGGGGGAATAGGCCTATGTATTGACATTCTGTTCACGTTACTTGCTTAAATATTGTGGTAAAGTACACAATCTTTTCTGTTATCATTTTCCATCGGCTGATGCGCCCACACGGAAAGCTGTCAATAAAATCAAAATAATTAATTATAATTGACGTCAATATAAAAATTAAATAACAATTTCAATTTTTATATAGTATAAAATATAGCATAACCATACGCATTGTTTCCTTGGTGACATATTCCGTTTAGTAATGCGCTTTAATTAATTGCAGTACATAGCTAGAAATATTTCTAGCATCAAGATTCCTGGTGCAGGTGTTTTTATGCACATATTGTGTTTGATATACGATTTAACACTATATCTGTACTATCGATGTTTTTTTTAAAATAGGCATAGCTCATCGCACTATCCTTTCATATGTTGATATCACTGAAACAGAAGAACTCTACTTCACCTGCCCTTCGGACCGACATGTTCGAAAAGGTAGTTTTACATTGTTCTTGTATAACTATAAACATTGCTTATAACATCTTAATTCAAACTTTAAACTCAAAATTAGAAATACACATTTAAATATTCGTATCATAAACGTATGAAAAGTAAATAAGATATATTTTTAAAAAAAAAAGCTCTTCATCATTAAATAACTTACGATAGTTGCAGATCCCAGTCTCTGAATATCTAATTAAAGAAAAAAATAACAGAGGTGTTTCTTTGGCTTCTTTTTAGTTCTCAATTTTAAAGGTGAAAAGGATTACAACTATTAGAATTGTTCATTACGTGTCAAACAATAATTTGCCACATGGCATGTTTACTCCCATACCAAACTACTTTTCTTTCTGGATGGTCTCCTAAAGCCTCTTTCCATTTATGAACAAACTACAAGTTAGCAATAAATCGATTTTGTAATTTTCTCTTCTAGATGTTTTACTGTCCCAATTTGCAAACCCAGCTGCCTTGGACTTCGAAGTCGGGACTTTTCGATTAAGTAGCCATGAGCTTTAACTGCTCGACCACACCAACCCCCACCTCTTTCACTTTTCATTTGAACCTTTTAAAATTCAATTTTATACTCTCTCTCTCTCTCTCTCTCTCTCTCTCTCTCTCTCTCTCTCTATATATATATATATATATATATATATATATATATATATATATATATATATATATATATATATATATATATATGTTACGGTCAAAGCCCGAAGTGCGGCCAATGCTAGGATTGGCCGGCCAATCCGCGCATTGGCCGGCTCTCTTGGCCAAAGTCCGAAGAACTTAGCACTAAGATTGTATTTCGTACATTGGCCGGCCAATGCGCGCACTGGCCGGGACGTACTGGCCAAAGTCCGAAGCGCTTAAACTTGACAGCGTATTTTGTACATTGGCCGGCCAATGCGCGCACTGGCCGGGATGTCCTGGCCAGTGTTCTATCTAGACTAAGTTGTGATCGCATTTTCATTATTCTGGGTGCGTTTTCATTGAGAGTAACGTATTGTTTAGCTATTGTTTGTATTGCATTCTATATGCAAGGCGACATGGATCAAAAGGGCCGTCAGACCATGAAACAGACATAGCAGATGGCTGTCAAAAGAAAAAAATGTAAATCCATGTTAGTTTCCATATATGGGCTCTCGATAAAATAATTACCGAGGAAGATCTTGAGAACATTGAACAAGAAATGGAGGTTGCCATAAATGCAACGACATCCTCAGCTAACACATCTACTGCTGTGGCGGAACGTCCAGACCAGTTGCGTGACAATAATGTGGCCAACAGATTCTATATAGTTTGTGAAAAATATTGTAGTGCAGCTCATTCTTTTGGATCCTGTGGCAACGATGTCCATGCTATTTGTGGAATACCAAATGAAGCAGACGAAGGGTACGGAGGGAACATTACCTGCAGATTGTGTCACAACAAACAAGACATCATGGAACACAGGTCAGCAGCTCATACTGGCTTGCAAACTCAAGGTGCTAAGATGCTTAAAACATCAAATACACAATTTAAAGATGGTGAAGTGGATGACAATCTACGCATTCGTTTTCCAGATGTTGACAGAGGTCACGTTGATTCGCGAAGCGTGATTGCAGTTGTCATGAGCGTCGAGGGCGGTTTCTACAAATTAGGAACGGAACATGGTGTTCTAAAACAACTGTATGCTAGAAGTGAGTTTTCAATTCTTCACGAAAAACTGCTCTTATTGTCGTCAGTTGGCACTGAGGAAAAATCACTACGAACCATCGCATCTTCACAATCATTGACTGGGGGCCAAGGCTACACTCGCTGCAATTGCACAACTAAGTGCACAACAGATCGCTGCAAGTGTAAAAATAACAAGCTGCTATGTAATTCTAAATGCCATTAAAGTTCAACTTGTTGTAACAAAGGATGATATTGATAGATTGAGACTATAGTACAATAAAATATTTGAATGTTTCTGTCATTTAATTTAATTAATAATCAATAAAGACTTAATTTCATGATCCTTACGGCATTAAAAAAAAACCCAAAATCTGCTCATGATCTTCTAATTCGGACTTTGGCCGCTCATCTCTAGCCAGATGATCTTCTAATTAAGACTTTGGCCGGTCCACCACAGACAGTCCGCGGACTGGCCGGCTAAAGGCCGAAATCAAGACCTATTTCAGACTTTGACCGGTCCACCATGGCCAGTCTGCGGATTGGCCGGCCAAAGGCCGAAATCAAGCAAAGTTTCGGACTTTGACCGACCTATGGGAGGCGATATTGGCCAATGCGCGGATTGGCCGGCCAATCCTAGCATTGGCCGACTTCGGGCTTTGACCGTAACATATATATATATAATATTACTTTAGCTTTATTGAACTCTATTACATATTCCTCAAAATGCTGTTTCATTTAGTTACTTTAGTGCAGTTGCTCTTACCGTTTTATGGAGATACCGAATAACACCAGCTTTATTTGCGTATTTACCAAACACTTCTTATTAGTAGATACAATAAAATACTATTTCTATCTCTCTATATACTACTAAAACTCAAGTTTGTTTACATGTTTGAATATTTTATTTTTATTTTTTTTGTCCGCTTGGTTACAGGAGAGAATCTGCACTATGTGTAGAGATATAAAATCGTATTTAGGTAGAGAACAATGTTCTTTTTTACCTAACTGTTAAACACAAATAAATTAATTTAAAGACGTTAATTAATTAATTGATATATTCATTAGTAGATTAACCACTTTAATTATAAAAGTTCAGAACTATGACCTTACTTATAGTGACGTCACATGATTTATTTACTTTTTATAACAATAATGGCGGCTTCCATACAAGATTTTGTTGCCCATTCAAAAGTATAACGCATTATGTAGCTAATTTTCTGTCGGCTATAGCTTTAACGATACGTCCGTTTGCTTTTTTTTTATTAAGTTTCAATACTATTATTAATTTTTAACAGTCATTTTAAATTGAGATTACAATAAATATTCAAGAATACAAGGGATTTATCTATCTAGGGGAAAACTAGACTTAACCAAAACAGTCGCAGAATCTAGATAACTCTATCTAGATATAGATAATAATGAATCTCTATAATAACATATTTCGGGCCTTAATTATTATAAATAAATCTTTGTTTGTTTACTTAAGGAATCGAACAGTTTGGGATAAAATTTAATTTGAAAAAAAAAAACAATACTAGGGCCTATTTGCGTAAATGAAGTTTCTTACGCAGAATAAAAGTAAAATATATCAGTCAATATCTCCTGGTCCTATGAGTCTAGATAACTAAGATGTTAGTGTATTAGTTAATCATGCGGGTGGCACTGGTTCGAGACATATTAAGTCAATGTTAATTTTTTTTTTTCATTTTTTTTTAAAATGTGAATGATAAAGTTGCCTATCGAAAACTGGTGGGATACATGGCCGGCGAAGTAGAGTTCACCTGTTTCTGTGTCCTCAGCATATGAAGGGATAGTGTGGTCAGATCCATCGTAGGCCGGAATCTTTTTGAAACGATAAAAACATGTTGTCTGAGACTTGGCGGGACACTGGGCAGGTGATACAGAGTTGGTTAGGTGCAGTGTTTACCTGTCACGTCAGCATATGAAGGGCTAGTGTGGTCAGACCCATGCTTGGCCTTTCTTCTTCTTTTCTTCTTCTTCGTTCTTAATTATTAGTGTTGAAGGAGATCGAGATTTATCTGCCAGTGGGTTTGACATCGAGACTTTGTTTTCGACCACGCCTCCAACACAATTAAGCGTTACGTGTCAACTGGTTATGCGCCATTGAGGCCATTGACTCCGATTTCAGCCTGCTTTTCTTTTTGGATTTGCTTCCATAGCCTTTGTCCAACCAAGAACAATCTACAAGGCAGCAGTTGTTTTAATTTTGGAGTTGTCTCTCCTAGAAGAGTGGCTGTCCCCAGCTAACGAGCCTCATCTGCCCGAGGGTTCGAACTCGAGACTTTTCGGTTTAGCAACCATGAGCTTTACCGACTCGACCACGCCGACCCCTCATGCTTGGCCAAAATCGGTGTTTTAAAAGACAAAAACATTTCTGAATTGGTGGTATACTGGCAGTGGCGGAACTACAGTGCCGCTAGACCCAAACCATTCAGGGGCTCACAGCCGACCATAATAAAATATTTGTATAGTTTAAAAAAAACTTTTTATTGCATTTTTGACTTGATGGTTGTTTTGTAAAAAGATTACTGTAGCTGCGGTTTGATTATCTTTATTCTATAGACACAATCCCACACTCTTGAATATTCTTTTTCCCTTTGTTTTTAAACCACTGTGAAGGCCGAGTCCTCTTTCTCCTACAATCAAACACACGCTTTTGTCGGCTTAATTTTTTTGAAAAAAAATCGAAGTCCATTACGTGAGAGGCCGTTAGATATTAAGATGACTTTTGCTTCATTATAGCATTGGAAAGGAACCCACAATCCGTTGTGATTTTACAATGTAAAATGTAAGTTTTTTTTGTATTGGTAAAACTATTAATCTGTCCTATCGTGTATTCTACAAATAATCATCAAGAATATAATAATAATTTTGGTTTTATGTACGATTACTAATTTTTGTTTTACAAAATACGTAATCGTAAACGTGTATAATTTGAATTCTCTCCCTCGAATGTAAGGCTTTAGGAAAAGTAGTTAAGATCATCCCAACTTTGGTATTGATGGATAAATGCACATCGGCGCTTTGTTGTCCATTTTAAGTTAATTTCTCTGAACCCCCCCCTCCCCTCACCGCTCTTAGCCTTACAAGTAGCGAACTTCTAGCTGTACATTCACCACTTCTCAAGTTTTATCAAACACTAGTCAGCGGATATTCATTTAATAAAAGGTAAGACTATTTTTTTTTATATTTTTAGTACATGAATCAATTGGAGATTTATAATCAATTAATCACTTAATAAATGACGTATCTGGTCTTTCGTGAGTCATAAAAAAAGTATGAAGTCATTTATGGATGTCCTCCGCGTGAGCTGGGCACATACAGCTGTACACGTGAACACCGTGTGTTTGTCTTTTATGCATTACAACACCCTTCATTGGGTGTCCTGCACCTCCACAGTGGGATAGGTGTAATACTTGAATCATTAGTCTCGCTGCATTTGGGACCTCCGCCGGGGGACGGGGGGGGGGGGGTGATTAGCTTTTTTATTGTTTCGCCACTGGCATTTTGATAGTTGTTTTGTAAATAACAAGTGGTTAACTTTGCTCCACAATTATCACTGTCTTTTAGATAATCATTGGTCCCGTGATCACTAGAGTGGGATCGAAAAATAACTATTGACTTTGTCCACGAGTAGCAAACATCTTCTCCCTTAAGGCATGTTTCAGCCAACAAAGCGAGCGGCCACCTTGCTATGTAGGTGAGTTTTCATAACTCTTCTATCCATAGATGAGCTAACACTGATGCTTGTCTCGTGTATATCGAACCTTAGTTTCAATCTAATAATTTTATATTTCTAATTGCATTTTTAATATGTTTAATGTAGTCTGTCAAACCTATGCGAAAAATCCCTCTGATTTAGAGTGGGATTGTCGTGGTGTCCTAGTGGGATTGTCGTTGCGTCCTTGTGGGATTGTCGTGACGTCATAGTGGGATTGTCGTGGCGTCCTATTGGGATTGTCGTGACGTCATAGTGGGATTGTCGTGGCGTCCTATTGGGATTGTCGTTGCGTCCTTGTGGGATTGTCGTGACGTCATAGTGGGGTTGTCGTGGCGTCCTATTGGGATTGTCGTGACGTCATAGTGGGATTGTCGTGGCGTCCTATTGGGATTGTCGTTGCGTCCTTGTGGGATTGTCGTGACGTCATAGTGGGATTGTCGTGGCGTCCTATTGGGATTGTCGTGACGTCATAGTGGGATTGTCGTGGCGTCCTATTGGGATTGTCGTTGCGTCCTTGTGGGATTGTCGTGACGTCATAGTGGGATTGTCGTGGCGTCCTATTGGGATTGTCGTGACGTCATAGTGGGATTGTCGTGGCGTCCTATTGGGATTGTCGTGACGTCATAGTGGGATTGTCGTGGCGTCCTATTGGGATTGTCGTGACGTCATAGTGGGATTGTCGTGGCGTCCTATTGGGATTGTCGTTGCGTCCTTGTAGGATTGTCGTGACGTCATAGTGGGATTGTCGTGGCGTTAAAGTGAGATTTGGGTAGGGCCAAGTGATAGAGTCTTATAAATTTGCTCGTGCTACCATAGCTTACAAATATTCTAATATTTGTTCTTATAAATATACTTGATTAAATTACTCTCTTACGGTGCATCTGGCTGGCACGACATGCCATCACAGCACGCTAATGCAAAGATGCTTACACGACAGTGCTTGTACCTGTTCAGGCAGCAACTATTGGATTGAAAAAAGTCTTTTTCAGGCACGTCTTCGTACAAGCTTATACCCCCTCCCTCACCCCTTCCTAAAGGTCGTTCACACCCCACCCAACCCCTACCTGAAACTGAAATATAATTCATATAGAAAATACATAATTTAACCAGTGTCCAACACCCCCCTCCCCCGCATACATACACCCGGAAATTTAAATTAGTTCCCCCAAAAGTTTCAGGTACACCCCCGTCAAGTGGAATCAAACGTTTGAAAAAATAAAAATACTGTTTGGGAAGAATGCATGTGTAGTGGTGTAAAATATTTATATAAGACCGCTCAATCTGCACCTAGTTAAGTCAGTATACTGGTATATTATGTAAATAGTTTACAATAAGAAAATAAACACCAAGATAGTGTATTCGATATTATTAATTAAAATAAAATAATTTGTATAAAACATGTATAATTCATGTTACTGTAACTTTTGAATACATTTGTTTATTTGCAATTTTATTTTAATTTTAAAATGCGATTTTTAGTTTTATATTTGCAATACTGTCAGCATGACATTCCCTAGTACGATTAAGGAAAGTACTCATTCGAAAAAAAACAGTTCATTGGGCAGATGAAGTACACATGAACTCAGCATATAAAGGCATAATTGTGATCAAAACTATGTCTAGTCGCCTTAACGTTCTCTTAACGCCCTCTAACGTTAGCCAGCTACCCATTAGAGCTTTGTTGATTAGTCTTATGGAATCGAGCCCGTGATCTGAACTCAAAGATGTTCACAAAAACTTCCGTACTTTTAATTATCCGTCCACGCCGTCCATGCATTCTCAAAAATAAAGCATGGAATGAATTAAATAACTATTATCCAGGCTATTACATTAGGTGCTAAAAAATGAGTACCTACCTGTCCGAGTACACTACAAGACTCGCCAGACCTACCAGGACCAATGTGATCATCATTTTCATCAGCGTTTTATGTAAATGCTTAACAACTCAAAATGTTTTAAAATATACGTTGCTCTTTTTTTGTTAATACGTTATGTGGAAGTGAAGAATCTTCACATAATGAGACCACACAACGTTTTATAAACAGCCATTTGCCAGCCGAACGTGGGTGATTTCTATTGGTCACTTGTTAACATAGTCGGGCAAGCCGCACGTTTGCAATTTCTATTGGCCACTTATTATCGGAGCCGTCCAAGTCAAGAGTGCTTAATATCTATTGCTTGCTTGTTATTTGTTTTTCTATAACTGCACGTAGGTAATTGCTATTGCTCCATTGTTATTAGTGTAGACCAGGCCATTGTAACAATACAGAACATAATAAACTTATATTTGTATCTAATCTTCCGTATTAGTATTATAATGCACTGTTAACCCATTCTTCCTCTTCGAAATGAATAGCAATACTTCAGGGTTTTTCCTCCAACATAATTAAATATTACTTGCAGTGGTGTCGCTAGGTCGGGTGTCACCCGATGCGACACCTCAAGTTTTTAATCCCCCCCCCCCCCCACTTTTTTTGTTCTATCTAAATTTTGAAGTATTAGCCACCCCCACCCCCTCCCGGTAGATGTTTTAAAGTGTTCACATTAATACTTATGATGGTTATATTGTCAGTTGTTAATAAAGCTGGGTGTATCATTGTTTTCTTTACAGTTTGCATGTTTACTTCATGGGGTCATCCCCCCCCTATCCCTGTGTTTATCGTCATTATGTACTTAAAATACATTTTAACTCTAACAATTCTTTGAAGTGTAGAAAGCACATATTTATTCTATATATCTTGCAATTTTTTTGTCTTAGTGTCAACCCCCCCCCTTCTAAATGGTGTCACCCGGTGAGCAACGCCTCCGCCAGTGTTTCTTCCAGACTTTTTTCTCCGGGGGGGGGGGGGGGGGGGGGCACTTGAAATCTTCGGGGGGGCGGTAAACTTTCTTCGGGGGGGGGGGGTCGGACACTGTTAAAAGTATATATTTTCTATATAAATTATATAAATTTCATTTCGTTCGGGGGGGTGGGCGGTAAAAAATTTTCGGGGGGGCTTCGCCCCCCCGAAGAGATGCCTGGAAGAAACTCTGGCCTCCGCCTCTCGACGCCTCTGATTACGTGTTAATTTTGTGCGCCGTACCGCCCGTTGACTCTGGTTTCTGCTATTCTTTCCAGTTGTTTCTGCACAGCCGTCGTCCATCTTGGAAGTCTTCTTTTCTAGATGGGCTGCAGCTCAAAACTAAAAACTTTTGCCGAAGGACCCCCCTTGATATTTTGTGAGGTGGCAGAAGAGCGCCTATGGGTGTCAGAAAAAACTCGGCATATCCGGGAAAAATTTAGAAATTGGTCAAATTGACCAGTCGTATAATCTATATAATCTTTGTATTTCATGTGAGAAAAGAGGGTAATTTCAACAACGATTTTAGTGTACTTACCCTCAGTACATATGACTAATTATTTGCATGCCCTTAGATAAATGGTTAGGCCGTATGGGAAAACTGTCCGTTTGACTAAAAGCCCTCGACGAGGGCTAGAAAGTTACCTGGAGTGAAAGTCTCTTTATATGAGCTATATTACGAAAAAAAACTTTTGCCGAACGGCCCTTCTTGATATTTTGTCAGGTGGTAGAAGAACACCTAGGGGTGTCAGAAAAAACTGGCCATATCCGGGAAAAAATCTAGAAATGGGTCAAAACTGACCAGTCGTATTTCCCTATATAATCTTGGTATTTTATTTGAAAACCAGAGTGTAATTTCAACACCAATTTTAGGGTAGTTAACCTCTGTGTATCTGGCTAAATTTTTGCATGCATCTCTAAAGATGACTAGGCCGTATGGAAAAACTTTTGGTAAAACTCAAAGCCCTCGACGAGGGTTAAAAAATGACCGCTAGTTAAATTCTCCTTATATAAGATATATATAAATAAATTGACGAACGACCCCCCCCCCCCTAATATTGTGTGAGTTCGTAGACCGACACTGGAGGGTAACAAAAAACTTTATTCCCGTCGGAAAAAACCTTTTACAAACGTTAGACTTGTCCAAATGCAGTATTGTCTAATATAAACAATTGTTTGTGAAATCGTAAACAGTCTACGTCATTTGGTCTTTTTACATGGGAGGTAACTTATTAAAGTAATTTTTTTTTAAATTTTTATACTATTTTAAAGAGAAAGCAAAAATTACAAAGTATAGCATTTGTTTAAATAGATATTTCGTTATTAATTAAAATACGTATCTTACTGAAATTGTAAAAATTAATCGCGAGACTGAATTTTTTATAATTTTCGATTAATACTATTAACGAAGCCTTAGCAGTTCTAATAACCTTGCGAGTAATAAGTTTGCGAATATTCCATCCATGTTTGCGTGAAATGAAATTACTCAAGACTACTTAAACTATGGCCCTAAGCACTCCACCTAACAGCCAATCACCAAATAATTAATCATTCAAATTCTCAATTTCATTATTTTAAAACGTAAGCAAAGCTAGGCAGTATGCCTAGTTTATTAAAAAACGGGGTTTCCGCATTACACATTTGTTTGGTGTAGTTGAGTAATTTTTTTCTTTGTAATAAAACAAAATGGCAGCTAGTTATAAACTTAAATACCAGATGCATGACTTAGAAAGCATAAAAAATAACGATAGGTACACTGTACCCTTTGAAACCTTACAGTCCATCGGGCAGGTGGAATAGAGTTAACCTTTTAGACCCCTATATATTTGTACAAAAAAACGTGGGAAAAAGGGACATAGCCCAGTAATTGTAATTTGATAAAAACAAGGTTCGTTACTTTTCCTCTTCAGGCTTACTGAGTAGTGGTCACGCGGTGTTTGTGTACAAACCTATGCAAATCTAACACAGAAGAAATGTCGATTGGAAAAGGCACGTGTTTTTTTACGAGTTGTCTTCGTTTACCCAAAAAAAAGTGAATGCGAGAAGATCAAATCGATAGCAAGATTTGAATGCAAACAGACAAAGACTAAAAAGTAGAAAATAATAAACGTGGGGCGCCGTGATTTTCTTACAGTTTCTAATACTGTTGACTCTCTACAAGTCCCTAATAAAAGTCAATAGTATTATCTAATCAATAGTAATATAACTTTTACATCTTATATTAACAATGACCGATACAAAACTTTTACTTCGGCGCCCCACGTTTTTCATCGCTTATAGTAGAGTGATCGCTTGCATTATTGTGATGTATAGCATTTATTTTCTACTTTTTAGTTTAATCAGAAAACGTGTTTTTTTTTTTTATTTATGATAATTATTTCATTATAAGAATGTATGTATGTTAGATCGATTCAAATATTCACCAATGGTGTTCACATTGTCATGTTAACTGGTTTACATCAGGCTGATGCTAATGACGCGCAGTGTGGTTTTTGATATGAGTGGCAGTGTTCTGTGCTGTTTTGTATGGATGGCTAAATGGTTAGATGGCTAGATGTAAATCAAACGCCCGTTGTATTTCTCCTTCATCGGGCCATTTATCTCGTTCAGAGTTATAGTCTCACTACATTTTTCGGGAAAAGCGGCGTACACTTGTATAAGTATATTTTCTATATAAGATATATGTCGTTATAGGGGGCGGTAGCCTTTTTTGGGGGGTGCTCCTAAAACGGACAAAAGGCCGACACGAACAAAAGGCCGATAAGGAATAAAGCCGGCAGCTAAAAGGCCGACATTCAAAAGGCCAAAAAGACAAAAGGCCGACCCGTTATTTTAAAAACCTATTAAATAATAATCAAGTTAAAGTAAGACAGAAAACATAGGTTCTAGTATGATAAATGATATGCTAAGGCACGTAGAAATTAAAGTCTACTTCTGTCTTCAAGTTCTGCAGCAACATTTGCTATCCTGCCCTCTTTCTAAAATGTTTTTCGTTTTTTTTATAGCTCACCAAGCAATATTGCCTCCATTACATTTTCCACTCTTCATTGTTCCTGGCACCATTGTATCACAATGACAACTGAATAAATCAACAAAATGAATATAGAAACAAATTAGTTTTATGCCATCCGCAATGAACGAACTTGGAATATAATTCAATTTTTTTCACTCCAGTCAAGGAACGTGATCAGTAAACTTCATTCGATTTCTTTCATTTTTTAAAACATTTGGTGGTAATGCCGCCTATCTATTTAATTTTTGTACACTCCTGTCATCTTCAGTCGATTGAACCCCATTATTTACATTATAAGGATAGCAACTAGCAAAGTCTCTTGTCGTTCAGCCTTAATGCCTGTGGGCTATGATGCAGCGGCTTTTGACTGGTATATTTGATGGTTTCTCACATCGTTGACATAGAAGGATATATGAAAACACGAGTGACCGTATTTCGCAAAATTTAGCTGTTTATCTTAAGTGTTGAAGACTTTCACGTAATCTCCAGTCGCTTGGACCCGATGGTTTACCTTATAAGAATAGAAACTAGTATCGTCTATTCTCTTAAGATTTCCGTCTTATTTTTTATTTTTTATTTAAACTGTTGTCAAGAGAGGAGCTATGCAGTAACACATTTTTGCCGATATTAGTATTTTATATGCTTGTCGGCCGTATGTCGTGTCTGCCTTATGTCTTGTAGCCTTTCATCTTGTCGGCCTTTTGTCCAACACCCGATTGTGAACCAGACTGGTGGGGATGGTAACGAAATGGTCTGTTGCGCATGTCTCGGGATATAGACATGATTTTTAATCAAGTTTAAATTACTTAAATTGTTAAAATAGGATTGAATCTCGAAGAAAAAAGAATGAACAGCAAACAATGTGTGTATAATAGTGAGGCATAATAGTACTTTATATATTCAAATTCATTTTTGATAAGTCGGAAATTACGTAAACTACTATTAACGATATACGGAAATTACTCAAAATTTTATAGAAGGCAGAGAATTAGATGTATTACTTATATATGAAATTTCATCTATCTGAAATAGTACTCAAGTTACAGGCTTTTGAAAAACCAAAAGTAGAATAAGTTCACTTTCCGGTTACGGGAAATCGCCGAAAAGTTGTTACAGAAACAATACTTACTAATGAAATGTATTTAATTAACCTAGCTGTTACGATACTCAAATTATCGTGTTAATACACACACACACACACATAACACACATACCGATGCAAT